CTTATCCTTATGCTTGGCAGCACTAGCTTTACCGATGTCCATATCCATGAAGGACACATACTCAAATATCGACTGCTTGAGGAACTTCATATCTTCCTCTAAAGAAGCAGAAGGACGACTGGCTGAAGCAGAGCGAGATGTCTTGAGTTGCCCCCAGGAAGTGAACAAGTCTTGGATGGAACGAACAATTTTATCAGCATCCTGCAAAGAAAGTTACCAACATTGAAGGTTTTCACTGTACTAAACAAAGTGAAAGTAAAGGTGAAGCAAAGATTACCTCATCAGCATTCTTGGAAGGTGGCATATCCCCAGCCAAATCTACCACCTGTGGCTCCACCATTCGTGAGGACTTTCCCTTGTCTAAGTGAGAAGAACTTGCCGCAACGGGTAGACTCATGGGAGCATCTATAGAACTCAAAAAGCAACAAATCAAAAACCAATAGCACAAGCAAAGGTGAAGCATCAAAAAATGAATTACCTTCTGCTTCGACGTTTGAGGGGTCAACGCCGTGGGAAGAAAGTGGCTTATCCATTGGTTGTGATGAAGATTCTGGGACTGAAGATTTCTCTTTAAGCGTAGTCCCTTCATCAGTTGGTTTGGACGAAGCAGCCTCAGTAGAGGATGATGGAGCAGGAGCTGCCAACACCAAAGCCTTCAAAGGAGAGACTGAACTTTTCTGAGAAATCCAAATAAACCATCAGCACATAGAAAAGTTTCAAGTATGGAAAGGTATGCTTGTGAGTAAACCAATTTAATTACCTTCCTCCTGACGATGAGAGGGGTGTCATCATCATCATCAGCATCATCCTCCAAAATAGGAGATACTGAGGCTGGCCGTTTGCGGCTTGGGGCATTTTTAGCTGCAGTGGGCTTGGCAGGAAGAGAAGTCGATGGACGAGCAGACTGTTTAGCACGAGCAGGGGAAGAGGGACTCCTAATGGACACAGGAGTGACCAAAACAGGAGAGGTGGAAGAAATGTTTGGTTGGTCCAGTGAATGGAAAGCACGATTGGCATCAGTCGCAAACAATCTGTGCTTCACCGACGGCCAGAGTCGTTCAAAAAGGGGATGGATGGTACGGCTAGGATTGAAAGGGCCTAATGAAAAGTTGCTCGTCAAAAGAATATTGCGAGTATCTATAGCTTCTGCCTCTGCCTCTGCCTTATTAATGGTGTGGAAGCGGTCTATTAAATTTCTTGAATAGCAAGGGGGAACAGGCTAAGTTTGGCCAGAGCCAAGTTGGCGAGTAAAAAATTGGGGAGCATATATTTCAACCCCAGTTTTGGCATTGGTTCCAGTCAAAATATCATAGAACAACTCCCTCCCGGTCAAAAATTGAATCCAAACGAACAGAGATGTGCTCGCACCATCCATAGTGGATGGAGGTTGCACATAATCCGGAGTCAAAAAGGGAGGAAAATGAAAGAAGGAATGGATTGAATCCAAAGTATAAAAGAATGAAAAAATGTCCCTTCTGGACATATTTACAGGAGTCAGGGGATCAATGGCTAGCCCATAGCAGCTAGCAGAAGGACTGGAAAAGGATGGAACACCAAGCGATGGAAAATAGGCTCTCAACCACATTTGAGTGAACCAAAGAGGCCCACTGCCAATAGGAGATGCACCATTCTTCAATTGGGATTGAAGAGAAGCAATGCCTCTATAGAGGGTAGCTAAAAAGAAAGAACACAAATTTAGAGGCCTACCACATGCCAATTCGTGCGCTATGGGTAAATAGCTCATTGAGGGCTTCATGCTTGGCACACACAAAATGTATTTACAAAGCCAAACCTGAAAAAATGCCACACGCTCAGCATGGGAAGGCTCAGTGCTCGAGTGGTTATGACAGGTTTGCAGACTTGAATAAGACTCGGTGAGTTTTTTATCAAATTTTGGGGCGATACCAGAAATCAAAATACCAGGGAAAATGGTATCGCCCAAAGGTGGCAGATTTACTAGGGCCCCAACATCCCTTAAAGTAATGGACATGGGACCAAGAGGAAAAACAAAAGTATTATACTCATAAGACCAAAAACTTAAAGCGATTGGAAAAAGTGCTGGGTCAAAAATATGGGGTTGAAGAGAGATTTCTAACAAATCAGAAATCCTAGCACTATCAAAAATTGCCTTAGTAGGATCATGGTCCACAAGGCGAGCATGCCATCTACGAAAAACGACATCAGATTTAGGCCAAGTGCGAATACCTCTTTCGCTAAGCGGCCTCAGCGGCAAAGAGTTTAGAAACGGAGGGCCCTGAGTACAAGGGAACAGCTGACCGACCGCTGCTTGTTCGATGGCTTCAGCATTGTTAAATGAAGGACCTAGATAGAACTCATTGAGTTCAACATTGGCTGGTGCAAGGAAGTTCGGAGTTATATATGGTCGAGTGAGGAGTTTCTGGAAGTCTTCGAAACTGAAGGAGTCACCAGACTGGGATTGTGAAGCAGCCATTAGGAACGAAATAGAGTTTATCGAAGTTACGTAGCAGAGAAGCAAGAAGATGAATAGTAATGTTGCGAGAGAGAAGCGCGAAACAATGAGGCGTGATTTAGTGGTGCAATGAAATGGCGTGTATTTGGGGGTTATAAGGGTTTGCAAACGTCGCACCTTTTCAGGCTATGGAAGAAAATAATGATTGAAATTCTTGGGAATTTCGAATGTTGCTGGGAAACACAAAGTGAATATGGCAAAATTTAATAATTATTATTAATTCTGCCATATTGGGGGGTAATTGTTGACCCATAAAAATTCAGCCCAAATCGAACGGCCCAAGGAGTGAAGCCCAATTGGAGGATCCCCAAATCATATAGCCCAAAGAACGAAGCCCAATCAAACAAATCAAGATGAAGGCCCAAATAGGGAAGCCCATGAACGCGGTAATACCATCGTCCAAGGTTACAAGTCGCCCAAAATTTGAGCGAATGGATTGCCATGCAGTCGCCCAGAACTGTGACCCTGTTCTAACCCAAACTTTCGAGTCGTCCAAGATCTTAGCAAATATAAAATGTTATGGTTACCCAAATGTGCAGTTAATGAAGCAGTTATTAAGTAGCCCTATCACGTTCCACGATTCAAAGAATTCAATTGAAGACGGTTGAACGACAAAAAGTAATGACAGTAGTTAGAGAAGGCAGTTCAATGACAAGTTAGCCACTATGAAGAAAGTGGGCAGTTATAGAGCGATCAAGCAGTTTTTAAGCGGTTGATCGCGAAGAGATCATTCAGGGAGTATAAAAGGAAGAAAAGACATGAAGCAAAGAACCCCGAATCAAACACTCTCAAACAGAGAATATGTAACTTTCAATTTCTTAGTTTAGATTTAAACACTTCTTTTCAGTAACACGTGTGCTTGCACCCCTTGGAGGCATTCTGTTTTTATTTTCCAATTGTAAAGTCATCGCCAATAAAAGCATCCATTTTTGGAACTTTGTCTCGAGAGATTTGTCCCTTACACAATCGTCTGATCCCTTTTTAATTGTTAGCGACTAACTCGCGCGAAACAATTTAACTCGAATATTTATAAATAATAGTACGTTCATAATGATTAATTGAATAACAATTAATCTAACAATAAAATAAAGGAAAATAATAAGACAGAATCATTACTTTGCATGACATGCATATCTTAATTTTGGTAACGATTGTATGTCATATACTGAACAATTATTGACATGAAATTTAGCATACATATTCACACGTGCAGAAATATGCAATTATTACACATAATTCCAATTTTTTGTTACCTCTGGCTATTGTAAGTATTACTGTTCAAACTTTGTATCTTGGGAAAACAAAAGTGTGGATAGCTGACATGCACATACCAACATAAGTCAATAAGTCGTGCTTATATTTTTTTGCACAAAATTCCACGTAACGTCATTGGATTTCAAAATTACAACATAAATTTTTACTCGATTAAAGAAAAAAATTATAGACATGAATTTAATAAGTGGATTGATGGGAAAAATTCACATATCGTCAAATTAATTTTGGTACATGTGACAAAAAAATTATTACATTTTACCTATTTCACTTTGATTTTGAAAAAGTTGTGCTGATAACGTGTTATAAAATAAAGAGATCAAAAAAGAGAAATCAATAAACTTGTGTCTATCTATAAAAAAAGAATTAGGGCTTCGAGAGATACAATAGTATGATTAGGATTGCAGGGGTATAGGAATCATTCATAAGTGCTACTATATTTACAACATATTTTAAAATGCATTTTTAATGGAGCCCAAATATAGGTTTTATTATGTGAATGTGTGATTGAAAATTAGTAAGAAGACAAACAAGAGCTTAAATTTATGGTTTAACTTGACAACAAAATATTGGACAAAAATCAAATTACTTGATTAGATAATTTGTAATTAAATTCTTGAGTCTTTTATCTTTCATCAAGTCATGTAAAATTATTAATTATTAATCCTCTCTTCAATGGGTAACAATTAACAAAATCATGAACATGTAATTGTATTTCCAAATACAATTTAAGTATGCATGACAAATTATACATGATACTTTCGAGGTGAGAATTCCTTCTCTAATTGGGTACACAAGGTGAGGACGGACAAGACGGAAGATGTTGCATGAGATGAGGGTGAGATGGATATGGGAAACTTGATCATTGTCTCATTTAAAGTTCATTTCAAAGTAAAAATTGTCACACAAAATAAAATAATCACATTATTTCTAGAGGAAACATAAATTTTTTCTACAATTTAAAATAAAAATATTGATTTTCACCGACTTAAAAAAAAAATGAATGAAGGAGATTGAAATTAGGCAAGGGACTTATCCCCATCTCTACCTGTCTCGTTGATACTCCTAAATTTATGGTTTAAATTCTTGTATGGTTTTGGAATCTATAGTAGAACACAACACACTCTTAGAATGTTGTGTAAAGAAACACTTTTTGGACTGCTAGACAAGTTCACCATTGTTTTGAATAAAATTGTTAAATTGTTTAGAGTTCGTAAGAACTATTTTCTCGTAATTTTGGGTTGAAGAATGAAGTCTAGTGTATGTGTTAGGCATGATGATCAAAGTAAGAATGATCTTGCATTCATACAACAGAAATCCTGATCATATATAAAATCAACCATAAACCATTTGGATCATATGAACAATGTAAATGATAAAATCAGATATAAAATCAACCATAAACCGTTTGGATCATATGAGCAATGTAAGTGATAAAAAACAATACATCACCAATCCAATTCAATATCTCTATTGGATTAGAATTTAGAACCACGATAATGAATCTCTCCCCGGGCCACCCTCAAGCGCCCCAAGTCAAGTCCTGCAGTCACCAGGCCTAAAGGAGCTCTGGTCAAATAAAGTGAAGAAACCCCGAGTGAAATGTACGCTAAGGGTTATCGGCTTCAGCAGGATAGCATTAGAGGATAAAAGGTTGACTCATCCCTGTTGTAGTTCAGCATCAGATGCCTGCAGAACTTCCTGTAAGAATCCTTGCAAGAAGTCATGTTTGGCTAAACTTAAAAGTGACTTTAAAGCAACACTTTTTTTGAAAGTATTGAAGCTTAGTTATACGTCTACATTTGTTTGGCTAACAGAAACTGGAGAAGTTACGCCGTCTTCAAAAAACTTGACATGACAGAGGTTTCCACCTGCTTCATCCGCAAACATTATCTTTTTCCTCTCCCTCTTAACTACATCCGTGGAAGCAGTGACACTATTCTGACTCAATTTCTGCAGTTAAGAGGGTGATGTGACAAATTTTACTTATTTACTTATAGATAAACTTACTTATAATTATACTTCACAAGAAACATAAACTAGAGGACACGTACCATTATTTTACAAAACCGATTGCAGTCCCTATTCATCATGGATAACCACTTTTTTGCTGTTTCTTCAACTTTTGTTGAGTTGTCGATCGCTGCTTTAACCTTCAAGATGAAATGGCATTATGACATAAGTAGAAACATATCTAGGGCAAATCTCAAACGTAACCGTAGGTTAATTACAATTCCTTCAAGGAATGAGAGCAAATGATGATGAAACATTGGAATGAACATAGAAAGAATGGTCTAATGTTAAAATCTTACAAAAGTAAATAAATATGGCCTCAACTGAGATAATGTAAGCCCACTTCCAAAAAGGACAATGTAAGTGCAGAGATTTTAAAAGTCCAAATTGAGATGCAGAGTTATCAGTTTTTTCGTGGATGCACTTCAATCAGACGCATTGTACATTTACATACCGCTAAGTGCACAGATAAGTTGCATCTGATTACATCTTTTACTGCTAGAAGCATAATTGTGAGGTATTCCCATATACCTCGTTAAGTATCAACTATGTTTCTGTTCCTTCTCTGATTGGAATATTGAATAAAAACTATTTTACTTTAACAGTAAACTGAAATTCGATTAATGTCAATTACCAACGGATGCAAAGGATTCAGATGTGAAACAAGGTACGAAAACTGAACATGGCAGCAAATGGTAAGTTTTATGCTCAAAACAATAGAATTTGGATCTCTGAAAAAACTATTTGTTCATTATGCATACCTCTTCAGCATCATTTTTCAAAGCAGTGTTACGATATGCTTCAAAAAGCAATTTTTCTTCCACAATGTCCTTCATGGACTTCAACTCAGTCATCAGTTTCATTGCAAGAGACTCAATGTCATGCATCTGCCGCTGTGAAAATGCAATAGCACTTTCTGAACAACCTTTAGTGGAGCAACCAGTGCTAAAGTTGGGTAAGGTACGAGAAAAACGAGGGCCCTCGAGATTTCCTTTAGGTAACGAAGCTTTGCAATTTTGTGATTTCTTCAAAATCTGTCTGGGGTTTATGAAGACCTTTCTCTGGCTACGCACCACAGGTTCTCCTATCCTCTCAGTTATTTTAGAATGCTCAATATCTGATCTCCCTGAATGAACGTTCTCATCTTGATTCTCTAACCAGAACTTCCCTTTGCATTCTGGAAAATTGCAAACGAAAGGAGGACCGTCAAAGATATTTGAAACAATTGAAGAAACCAACTGATAACATGATTTGAAAATTCAATGTAAAGAAATTAAAGATGGAAATTGATTTCCAAAGCCTCGCATGAAATTGTGATTATTATTATTTTTTTTTTCTTGTCAAGTTACACCCTGAAGATGATAGCTAAGCATGTAACTATCATGTGAAGTAAATATTCCTCAAGAGGCATGAAGGGATGAAGGATCTACTTTTATTAGGGAAATAATAGTAAAAGGTACTGTGAATATGATTTTAATGTGATCTTAAAACAAATCCCTCCAACGCCACGGAGCTTACATATCAAGAATGTACAGAACTTTTTAGTGCCCAGCACGAACATTAGTAGATAGATCTATCTACATCAACTTTTTGCAATCCTTTTTCCTTCTTATGTAGGTGAAGAAATATTGTGTTTGCTTCCGTTTATAGTCTTCTAAAACAGCTGCACCTCAAGTAATGCAGAGCAACAAAACAAAATTCTTCACATAATATTTGCATGGACAGTAAATTTACATGCGGTCATTTAGACCAGTTGATATTAACTTACTGCATTGGTCAACTTCGTCATGTAATTCAACTGAATTCATATTCAAGCACAATTGTTCTTGAGAATATGGAGAAATGACCTGCAGCAGTTGAGCATCAAGTTTGAAATTGTCACAATAATAAATATAAAACTCAATGTCGTGCAGAAAACACCATCTGACCTTTCGAGTTGAAAGGAGCCTCTGAGGAGGTTGATAAAGTTCTAGTGTTGGAAGTGTATTAGTTATATCACAACCTTGGTAATCAAGGGAGGGTTTTCTTTCTTTATAGGTGCCTGGAGATGCTGGAGTTTGCCTCTCCTTGCTCTTTGATAACTCATCCTCCAACTGATCTCTAGAGTTCAAGCCATTCGTGGCCACAGCATCAGTAGTAAATGTCAAAGACTCTTCATCAGCCATGGTAACTTTCAATGGCGCTGAATTGTCATTGATCTCCAAGGAAATACTTGAATCCTCTGAAGTAATACAGCTGTTGTCTGGGCTAGTCAGGGAACCATTTTTTTCATCAAGCAAATCTTCCTTAGTGCTATCCACAAACAGGTAAAAATTAATTCCATTGCAACGTTTGGTGCAGCCAATGTTATTGTCAACAGCAGGGTTAGGAACTTGACCACCAGAATCTCCCCTTGTTTGCCCTGATATCTCCTCCATTTGGGAAGAACTTCTGGTGCAATGCATATATGAACCTTGAATCTCAGCCGGTGAACTGCTAGAAAGTACTTGCAGATTATCTTTTTCTGTCTCAATTATTGAAGGGGCCAAAACAAGAAATTCTTGGCAATCCATTTCCTGATATTCTACCTTCACAGTCCTTCCATTACTTGGAAGAAGCACAGAGATAGGCTCAACATGCTCCAAATGGTCATAGGAGACTTCATTAGTAACACAGTTCTGGCATTCCTCTGCAAAAATCAATGCTTCTCTATTTTCACACTCCATTGAAATTCCATTTGATGCTATACCACCAAGCTTGGATCCCTCATTCAGGTCGGTGGATGAATCATCAGAAAAACAAGTTCGGGTTGGACACCCTTGAGGCTCAGGTTCAGGAACCTCAGCTGTAACACGGATAACTGGTGGTAATTTAGCACCAACTTGCATCAAGCCTTCAGAAAGCTGATTCTTTTCAGATTTAATTGATAAGGAAGCTTCCAAAGATGTCATCACATTTTTGTTCGTGCATTTCCTCTTAGCCTTTGAGTTCTTTGAAAGCTTGGATTTCCAATTAATAAGTGGTTCATCAATATCAGATTCATCTTCAGCATGTTTTCTGTTTGCATCAGCCTGCTCTGAATTCACACCAGTACAACTTTCAAGCTTCCTTTTCTTTGTTTTAGACCTTTCCGTGAGCTGTTTCAATGTACTATTGTGATCCAAATTACTCTGTATGTCAGCATCATTCCCACAGGGAACAAGCTCATCCAATTCAAGTTTGACTTCCTTCAATGTTTTTGTTTTAGACCTTTCTCTAAGCTGTTTCAATGTAGTATTGTCATCCAAATCCCTATCTATGTCATCATCATCATCACCACAGATAAAAAAATCGTCAAATGCTAGTTTGACTTCCTTCAATTTTCTATCTACGTGTGGAAAACACAGAGTTTCACTTTTCACTTGATCATGGCAAAAAACTGAACCTGCACTCAATATATCCATGTCACTTGTAGAAGGTCTCCCTGGTCTTTTGACATCTTCACTTTCATATAAATCTTTTGAAGTCCTGAATGAAAGAGCTGGTTTTACATGGGAATCTATATTGTGGACTTTTATCACCGAATCACCCCTTATAGCTTGAAAATAATGGGTATTACTACAGTTCCTCAGCTCCATTATTCAAAAAATTAAACAAGTGTTTCCTCCGACTACCCCGTGGATTTGCACCCAGAGAAAAAAATAATAGCCCAACGGTAGTAATTTGAATGGGTGTGCCCCCAAATCTGAACATGAATCAAACCAGAAGTTAGCCTTGTTCTAACTGGATAAAACCATAGAAACTTAAGTTTACATTCTTTGGATCACAGGAATAAGCTTAATATTAATGCCATCGGAAGTTTACATCCATTGGATCACAGGAAGCGCACAATTTATTATCCTCGAGGTGAAAGTTACACTGTATAGCCAAACATTTTACTAATCCTACACTTTATTGCAAAAGTTTTAGTCACTCCCACAGTTATCCAGTCATGAAATGTATAACATATATGCAACACTCTTTAAAACTTTTCGTTGAAAAGTTAACGAAAGATATGTGTATCACCCTCAAGGACTCTAATATGCGTGGTCCATAACAAAGCACTCTGATTAACAGAGTAAGGTAGCTACAGAAAGAAATTTGCAGTAATCCAGGAGAAGTGCAGTAAAATATATGGAATTATTCTCTTCGTTTCTTCCAAACCCTAATTTCATCAGAAAATTTCATAAATTTTTCGATTACCTACCTTCTATCCACAGATGAATCAAAACGAAAGCAAATAAACAATTATCCAATTAGTCAGTATAACTAAAACCCAGATAAGTAGATTTGAAATGAAATGCAGAATAAAGGCTAGAAAACAGATCTGAGAATGTCGAATACAAATCTGAAGCTCACCTTATTCGAAAATCTCGCTTTGAGAGAGAGAGAGAGAGAGATGAGATGAGGATTAGGGGAAACTTGTACTATTAGGGGATTGTAAAAAATCTGGCGCCAAATCATATGGCGGGAAGGTTCTTGTATTTTGAATTTGTTAAATTCGCTCTCCAATTTTTGTGTTAAAAGGAAAAACTTTGGCACTAATCTCCAACCAATGAATCTTATTACAATTTTTTATGCTTGACCTAAAGCCTCTTTGGCTATTCGTGAAGAGCTCAGTCTTGACATGAACATTGTTCCTACGTGAAACATCTAAGGAACGAACAATTTTCTTGAAATATAGAATTCAAATTGTTTTTTATTGTTTGCATTGAAATTGTTGCTCTCAATGTTTTATTTTTGTAGCATAGGAGTCCCATAACAGGCTGGCCTAAAAATTTTGAGATCCTAAATGACTAATTTTTCTGAGACCCTTAAACACAGCTTTTATTTATTTATTTATTTAAGCAAGCCTAACAATCTTTAAATAAATGTCATTTAAACGAATACTTTGTACAATCTAAAAAATAGAACTTGTATAGATCTTTTTTTTTCCTTTTTTTAAGAGAACTCGACCTTCTTATTTAGCACTAGTTTTTTGGTTTAATGAAAGAATACATGAAATGTCATCCAATGTATTAATTATATAAACAAATAACTTAGAACCCAAATGCATTTTTTTTTCTCCTTCTAGCCTAAGCCTTCACTCGTCTATTTTTCATCAAAGACAATTTTCCATGAATACTTGAAAGATGTCTTTTGCCACCCAATTAATGTATATTGATATAGTAATTGACAAGTTCTCCTTTTAACCTCCTATTTGTTGACACTTTTGAAAACTCATACCAAAGTCTTTCATTTCACCAAAATTGATATTCAGCCTCCCATTTCACAAAACCTGATATTCACATTTAGTCCAATCTTCTCTTCTTCGCATCTGAAACATTTGGATTTTTCTCATTACTTTTATAGCTCAAGCTAGCAGCCTCCAACACCCCAGTTGTACTTTGGGGCACTGATGATGGAACAACACCAATAGCCATATTTGTAGCATTGGAAGAGAAGAAGTATTACTAATTGATGTCAAATCTTGAATAAGTTCAATGCACTTCAACACTCTTCCCCTTCTTTACTCTTATGAAACCAAATGGTGTCCTAACTTCTATCAATGCCCATTATCTATATTTCTTCCCCTGAAACATACATTACTATTAATTGTTGCAGCTAATTTAGATGGCCTCCAAGAATAAACATTTTGAGTTTTGAAACCAAATAATTCACCTTCAAGAGAAGATGGAAGACACACACACACACATAGAGATATATAGAGAGAGAGGGGGGGGGGGGCTTTTTATTTATTTATTTTTTATTTTTTTCCTGGAGGCCCCCAAGCTGTTGAGGCCCTAGGCCTTGGGTTAGGGCCGGCCTTGTCCCATGTCAATCTATATATGCACTTGTTTGAGAGAAATTTTTATCCGAACTTGAATCAATTGATGTATTATTGTTGTTGTCATTTTTGACTTCCTTAGCAACAAAAGCTAGACACTAAAATCCACTTGCTCTTTGCAACAGTATAAAAATTAATTCTAATCTAGTAAATAGTGGAGCCAGACACGGGCTATATGTCAAAAAGTTTTGCAATGCTCGCACAACCAAAATTGTGGAGGAAAAATGGTAAATTGTGAGTTGAAAGTAAAAAAATAAATAATTAAAGCGAAAAGGTGAAGAATGAGAATGAAACTATCAAAATAAAAGTCAAATATGCTTGTTGTATAGTACATCATCATTTATAAATTGATTAGGTGGTAATAAATTGAATTAAAAATGTTACAATCTCCTTACCACTCAAATCAATCAATGAAATATTAAGGTGTGAAATGGACAATGAAAACGCAAGTTAGAATGTATTTAGATATAGGTTAAAGAGATATTCCTAAGCAATTTTACTAACGAAGTTTTGTAAAATTGCATTATCTTTGGAAGACAATAAGCGACATCTCTTATAGTGAAAGGGACGAGTTGGTTACTTTGAATATGTGACACATGGCCTAATCCTAATAGCTCATGGATGAGACCTCATAGGTAGCACATCAACTATTCCACGTCAAGGACGAGCTTAGATGGATTGGAAAAGACTACCATATGTGCCATGCCTATCACCTGAAAAGTAGAACAGAAAAATTAAATGAGAGATGTTTACTGTAGAGCTATCAAATCAATTAGACAGTGAAAAATAGGGTTGAGATATGGTGCAGGAAAAGGTTGATTTTCTTACATTGAGAGATGGCATAATATAGCCATTGTACCAAATATTTACAAAAGGAAAAATAACCTATATTTGGAAACTAAATAAATTAATCCTAGTGTGATATATACAACCGGGAATGGAAAATACAATCAAGTCTAAGGATGGAAAAATATAATCAAGGCTTGGAGACAATTTCGTTAATTCTCAACACTCCCCCTCAAGTTGGTGCATAGATATCACGCATGCCCAACTTGTCTAAAATATTATTAAATGCTTGGCTTGGTAATGCTTTAGTAAGAACATCTGCAAGCCTCTAGTTTTTCCTTGATAAAGTGTCGATCAACTTCAACATATTTGGTTCAATCATGTTGGACCGAATTGTGAGCAATATCACATGCTGCCTTGTTATCACAGTATAACTTCATAGGGCGAATTTGCTCAATACATAAATCTTGCATCAAGTTTCTTATTCACAGTAACTCACATATTACTTTTGCCATTCCTCTGTATTCGGACTCTACACTAGATAAGGCAACTACATTTTGTTTCTTGCTACGCCAAGTAACTTGGTTTCCACCTACGAATGTGAAATACCCAGATGTAGAGTGTCTTTTTTCAATTGACCCGGCCCAGTCTGCATCGGTGTATCATTCAATATCCAAGTTATCTCCTTTGGTAAAGATGATACCCTTCCCAGGAGTTGACTTCAAGTAGCGCAAGATACGAATTACTGCATTCATATGCTCTTCACTTGGAGAGTGCATAAATTGACTGACAACACTTAATGAGTAAGCCAAGTCAGGACGTGTATGTGAAAGATACATTAACCTCCCAACTAATCTCTAATAGGGTTCTTTATTGGTAGGAATTTGGTTTGGATATATTCCTAGTTTCAAATTCTCATCCATCGGCGTGCAAACTGGGCTGCATGCTGTCATATCGGTTTCCTTCAACAAATTCAAGGTATATTTTTGTTAGGATAGGAAAATACCTTTCTTTGATCTGGACACTTCAATCCCAAGAAAATATTTCAGCTAACCGAGATCTTTCATTTCAAACTCACGAGAGAGGTAGCTCTGTAGTGCCTTCTTTTCCTCTGAGTCATGTCCTGTTACTATCATATCATCAACATACACGATTAGAGCAGTGGTCTTCCCTTTATTATGTTTCAAAAATAAAGTATGATCAGAATTGCTTTGTTTGTATCCAAAAGCCTTCATAGCCCCTGTAAATCTTCCAAACCATGCTCTAGGGGACTACTTCAAGCCATATAAGGCTTTTTTTAGTTTAAATACTGGTCTGCAAGCTTTAGTTTGTATATTACATCCAGGGGGCAACTCCATATATACTTCTTCCAGTAGTTCTCCATGCAGAAAAACATTTTTTTACATCAAATTGGTGTAGGGGCCAATCCAAATTTGAAGCAAGGGAAAGAAGGACGTGGACTGTGTTGATCTTGACTATTGGTGCAAATGTCTCCATATGGTCGATTCCATATGTTTGTGTGTATCCTTTGGCAACAAGTCTTGCTTTGAAACGTTCAACCATGCCATCTGCTTTATGTTTAATGGAGAAGACCCATTGGCATTGGAGAAAGGGGGGGCTTTTGGCAATTTTTTTTTCTTTTAAATTCAGCTCAACAAAAATGCTTAACCATTTTTAAAGCTTAAAAAATAAAATAAATCCAACAAAAAATCACCATATCCTAAATTCAGCCCACGAACATAGCTCTCTCTTTCCCTCCCCAAACAAGACATTATTGGTTTGTAGTATTTATGATTTTGAGAATTATATTTTTATTGAAAACTTGAAAAATACATGAAGTTCTTATAAATTTTCAAGAGATTTGTTATTTTATTTATTTATTGGTCTATAATAATTAAAATAATATTAAATGAATAAAACACTTTGTTATGTGTTTGCACACTCGGGGCAACCTATCGAGGCCCACAGCCAACTCATGTCGAACCACGTGGCACTGAAGCACGTGATTTGCATTTTTGAGGCCCACAAATCGAGGTCCACAGAAGCCTAAGCCCATATAGACCGAAACCCCATATGTCAAGGCCCTTTGAAGGTAGACGAGGCCCTATTGGCCGAAACTCTGTAGCCGAGGCAGCAACTTCCGAATCACAAAGCAGCATCTTCCATAGACACTTCTCCCAAGAAATCCTCTACACAAATATCTTACTTGAATGATTGATAGGACGTTTGTCATAAGTGTAAATGTTTAAGTCTTGTCACTAGTAAAGGCGGCTCTGCCAATCAATAAATATATAGCAGGCTAGGTGCGGCTGATGCCTACAATTTGACATGTAAATTGTCCGAATGGGGCACGTGTACCCCAAACTAAGGGTCACAATCTAACTTATGACACTATAAATACTCCCTCATGTACCCCATACAAAGGCTAATGCAAGAATCAATACAAGAAACCATACTTTACTCAACTATCTCTTTCTTATTATCTTACAACACAATACGAGTTTACATAGATACAAACATCGATTGGTAATTATTGTACAATCGATTTACGAACATCTTATCGAATTCCGAACGCTCTCATCCCGCGCTGTTAAGCTACTCCCACGCCCTTGATTTGTCCATTTTATACAGTCCACGTGTCTTTGCGTGCTAAACTTTCGCTTACGTGTGTGCGAGTGGGTCCGACATCTGTTGGTAACATATTCTGGGGTCAACAGATTGACGCCGTTTGTGGAAAATAAAATCATACAATAACCACGAACAATCTTGTGGTAAAAGCTTATTGAAGAGGAACATTTAGGCACCAACTTAAAAAATGATTTGTTCTTAAAAAAGAATAAGAGGAAGCCCCACAACCTAGCAAAAATATGAAGGTCAAACATAGAAAATGAGTTCAAACGAAGATACAACCCCAGAAGAGTAAGAGAAAATGCAGGTGTGTCCCCTCCAGCAGCTGTCCCAGCAGCTCGGCATCGACTCCACCATAGTCGAGGTGGAATGCGAGTGACAGCTCGGTTATCAAAAGAAATGGTCGCCATAGCAGCCAACATGAGAGACATTGCTAGCCAGAACATGGCTATGAGGGAACTCATGGCCCAAATGCAAGGCCATGGAAGCTTCCCCATTCCTCTATACGCTCCCCAAGGGCACTACCAGCAAAAAGATGAAGTTCAAAGTCAGAGAGTTGCCTCGCTAGACTATAGCCGAGGTAGAAGTCCATTTGAAAGGGAAGTGGAAGTTGATGTTTCTTTCAACTACGTTTCTGGGCGACCTACTGAGGTCCCTTTGAACCATGATAACTTCCCACCTCCAATGAGCAAGAGCGAAGACATAGGAGGTCAGGTAGTGTATTTGACATAATCAGCCCTGCAGAACTGAGGCCCAGGCAACAACAGCCTCGCGAGCCTTGGACAAGGCCACAGCCCCCACTTCCCATGCCTCAGCAGTCGGAAGAAAAGCATGAAAATGCCCTCCGTGCTGCCCCACCTAGAAATAGGCACCAAAGGAGGGAAGTGGAGGCTAGGAACCGTCTCGAAACCTCTCACCAACCTCCAAGGTATGAGGTCGAAGAAAATGATTCAGATGAGCAGCAAGGTCCTGTGACTTGGACAATGATGATGAAATTTGGTATAGTAGGTTACCACCTGGGAGTATAAGAAGTTGGCTCGAATTCAAGACCACCTTCTTGAAGAGGTTCGCTGTGAGCAAAGAGGGAGAGGCTCCCATCCAACGCCTCCAAGACATGAGACAGGCATATGGGGAATCCCTGAAGAGCTTCCTATCATGCTTCACTGATAAGATGACGTACTGTGTGCAAGTCACCGATCATGAGGCGTTGTCTGCACTGAGAGTAGGCCTGAACATGAACACCCTGTTTTGGAGGGACGTGAAAAATCAGGACCCCACCACCTACGACGCCCTGCTCGAGATGATGAGACGAAAGATCATCAATGAAGAATTGATTGAGCATAGGAACAGGGTAAGTAGAGGCCTCCCACCACCGTAAAGACATCGTGCTAGAGGGCTGACCTCCCACTTGATGGATTACCCAATGAACCAAGCCGGCAACGAGAGTTCTGGGCAAGCACTTACCACCACCACTCTGAACGCAGTCTCGACCTTAGATATGAGGATATCAACCTAATCACCGACACATAGCATATGGGAACTCCTCAAGGATCCCGCAAGGAGAGAGGTCGAGGCCAGGGTTCGAGACCTAGAAATAGGTCAAATCCGAACCCCCCCAGAACTGCATAAACTACCAGTCCTATGGCCACGACACAGCAAATTGTCGAGACTATGCTCACCGTACCTGACAGGAACCCCCAGGGATAGAAATGAATTGCCTCAGGCGAAAAGGCCCCCACCTAGGTATGACAATCGACCTAGGCGTGAAGAGGCCGTTCCCCATCCAAGGGATGTTTCCCCGCAATGAAGGGAGCACGATGCAGAGAGGCCCAGGGAAGCGCGCAGACACTGAAGAAGTCAACAAACTCAGGATGAGGCCCCTATCCACAAGGTGGATACCATATTTGGAGACTCATATGTGCGCGGTGAAACGTGGAACGCTAAAAGGAATTATGCCCGTGAGGCCAAGCGCCCCCCACTTACCAACCATATTGTGGGCCAAAGCTCCCGGAGGAATCAAATTCCAGCTATTGTCTTCACCCAAGAGGACGTTGAAGGGGTTCACTACTCCCACTGCGACGCACTTATGGTGAGAGCGGTCATAGCCCGGAATGGTTTCAAACGAATGCTAGTTGACAACGATAGTTCTGTCAACATCCTATTCGCTTCCACTTTTGACAAAATGATACTGGACCATGAGTTGACGCCCACCACTACTCCCTTGTACAGATTTACCAGAGATAGCATCACTCTAAGAGGAAAGATCACCCTTGCAGTGGAGATGGGGGAGCCTACCCAAACTACAATGAACTTTATGGAATTCCCATTGTTGACAATCGATCGGCCTACAGTAGGCCAGCTCTAAAGGAATTGGGAGCCGTCACCTCCATCTACCACCTATGCATGAAGTTTCCGACGGAAAAGGGGGTGGCAATTGTGAGAGGCGACCAAAGAGGCTCGAGAGAGTGCTATCTAAGCTCCATCAGAAAGGTAGATCCCCGGGACGTCCATATGATTATCGCAGACATAGTCATAGCTGATGTCCCAGGTAATGCTCTCTCCAAATCGAAAGATGTGGAAATGATCGACGCACCACCAATGCCAAGAATATTAGTTATCGATGAGATTGACCCTCGCATAATTAAGCACGAACCTCAAGCATCCCCAGTTGAGGAACTTGAAAGCTTCTTGGTGGACCCCAGAGACCCATCCAAATTGTTGAAAGTGGGAAAAAGGCTTGTCCAATAGTTTGAAAGAAAAGATCAAGGATTTCCTAAGTAGGAACCTTGATGTCTTTGCTTGGAGGCATGAGGACATGGTAGGCATAGACCCCAAGGTCAATTGCCACCACTTGAAAATTGATCATAACGTTGCCCCGCACAGACAAAAGAGAAAAGCCCTTAAACCTGAGAGGTATGAGGCCCTGAAGGAAGAAGTTCAAAAGCTCATCCAAAATGGCTTCATCAAGGAGGCCACCTATCCGAGATGGGTCTCCAACCCAGTTTTAGTGAAGAAACACAACTGAAAGTGGAGGGTGTGCATTGATTTCACTAACCTCAACAAAACTTGCCCGAATGACAGCTTTCCACTCCCAAGGATTGACCAACTGGTAGATTCCATGGCTGGGCACGAGTTGTTGAGCTTCATGGATGCATACTCCGGCTACAACCAAATTTCCATGCACCCGACCGATGAGGAACATACCTCTTTTATCACAGACAGAGGCATTTACTGCTATAAGATGATGCCCTTCGGGTTAACAAAATGTTTGCGGACCTCATCGGCAAGACAATGAAGGTCTACGTAGATGACATGCTTGTGAAAAGTATGGAAGTTGGGGACCACGTGACGCACCTCAACTACACCTTTCAAATCTTGAAAAGGTATAGGATGAGGCTCAACCCCCTCAAGTGCGCTTACGAGGTTGCCTTCAGAAAGTTTTTAGGATACATGGTCAACCAACGCGGAATTGAAGCCAACCCTGAGAAGATTGAGGCCCTATGCAAGATGAGGTCCCTCCAAAAGCCAAAAGAGGTACAAAGCTTGACTAGGCGAGTTGGCGCACTTAGTTGATTCGTCTCCAAAGCTACAGACAAATGTCTCTCATTTTTCAAAGTGTTGAAAGCTGGGAAGAAGTTCCAATGGACCGAGGAATTTGAAGAGGCCTTTCAGCTCCTGAAAAGGCACCTAGGGCAGGCCCCCTCCTCTCCAAACCGAAGCCTAGCGAGATTTTTCAGCTGTATTTGGCCATCTCCAATGAGGCCATCAGTGCAGTTCTAATCCGAGAAGAAGGGATGACCCAACTCCCCATATACTACACAAGTAAAGCACTACTATCGCCCGAAACCCGTTACCCTGATATGGAGAAGCTTGCTTTGGCCTTGATCACGACTTCTAGAAAATTGAGGCCCTATTTCCAAGCCCACACCATACATGTGCTAACAAACTTTCCCCTGAGGTAAGTACTTCAAAAACCCGATGCCTCAGGAAGATTATTGAAGTGGGCAGTGGAGCTAAGTGAATTTAACATCGTATTCAAGGCTAGGGCGGCCATCAAGGGCCAAGCCTTGGCTGATTTTGTGGCAGAATTTGTCAATTTACCCGAGGTGGATGAAATCATAGAAAATGTCGAGCTCCCTACATGGAACTTATTCATGGATGGGTCGTTTGGGGACACCGGTTCAGGTGCCGAAGTTGTCCTCATCAGCCCAGAAGGTCACAAGCTGAACTCGGCTATAAGGTTTATGTTCAAGGCCACCAATAATGTGGCAGAGTATGAGGCACTTCTTGCGAGCTCCAGATTAGCCAGAGAAATGCAAGTGAAGAGGTTACTTATCAGTAGCAACTCCCAGTTGATCATTAGCTAGGTAAACGGCAACTTCTCGGCCAAAGACAAAACCATGGCCTCCTACTTGAAAATGGTGATGAACCTCGCCCCATCATTTGAAAATTTTGAGTTGATCCAGATCCCCCGTGTTGAAAATGCACATGCGGACGCACTCTCCAAACTTGCAAGTAGCAAGGATTTCGAACTACTCACAATAGTCCCAATAGAGTACCTCCTCATACCATCAACCGAGGCCCCCAACGTAATGTGGGTTGTTGGGACTCCTACCTGGATGCAGCCTATCATAGCCTACCTAAAGGACCAGGTACTTCCCGCTAATAAGCATGAGACTTACAAGCTAAGGAGGAGGCCAGCTTATTTCTTCTTCATCGATGACGTACTCTACAAGAGGAGCTTTTCCTCTCCACTCCTTCGATGCGTGGGAAGAGAAGATGCTACCTACATCTTAAGGGAAGTCCACGAGGGAGTGTGTGGTAACCACTCTGGAGGTCTATCTTTGGTGCAAAAAATACGGAGACAGGGGTACTATTGGCCTACCTTGAAAAATGACGCCCTCCAGTTTATACGAAAATGTGACAAATGCCAACGATTCTCTCCTATCCAAAGACAACCATCGCAAGATTTGACCGCGGTCTCCAGCCCCTGGCCTTTCTCAAAGTGGGGTGTGGACCTCATAAGTCCTCTACCGAAAGGCAGAGGAGGCACGAACTTTGCAATTGTGGCCATTAATTACTTCACGAAGTGGGTTGAGGCTGAACCACTGGCAAAAATCACAGAGACAAACACCTCCAAGTTCTTGTGGAAAAACATTATATGACAGTTCGGGATTCTCCTCGTCTCAGACAATAGTAAACAGTTCGACGATAAGAAGGTCAGAAGTTTGTGTGAAGAACTTGGCATCAAGAAGCACTTCTCCATACCTCACCACCCACAAGCAAATGGCCAAGTTGAAGCTGTGAACAAGACCATCAAACATATCCTGAAAAGGAAGCTTGATGTGTCAAAAGGGGCCTGGGTGGATGAGCTACCGCAAGTACTTTGAGCAATCCAAACCACAACGAGGACCCCCACAGGGGAAATACATTTCCTTATGGCATACGAAACTGAAGCAATGAGCTCCGTCGAGGTCGGACTTCCATCTCTACGACGTCTGCACTTCAGTGAAATAACAAACGACGAGCTCCAGAGGTTCGACCTCGACTTTATTGAGGAAAGAAGAGATGACGTCCAGCTGAAGCTCGCCACATATCAAAGAAAGATGACGAAGTACTTCAACTCAAAGGTGAAGAAGATGTCATTTTGAATCAACGACCTGGTCCTTAGGAGAGTCTTCCTCTCCTCCAAGAAACCAAGCGTGTACCTTGGGTCTGAATTGGAAAGGCCCGTATAGAATCAAAGAGGAGATCCAACATGGGACATACCAGATTGAGGACATGGATGGAAAGGCACAACCCCGTCCATGGAACATTGAGCACCTCCGAATCTATTATCAATGAATGTACTACCTCGCTGGACGATCTTTCCAAGCTCATGTAACATTTCCATGATTCAATAAAATTGTCCATGATTGAACTCATCTCGCACTACGTCGTCACCTCGAATGAGAGGTCAACGCCCCATCTCTGGGCCACCTCGCTTGAACTCTGAGGCGCACGCCACTTGCCTCCCTTTGGCGAGGCTGAATGCCACTGGGAGAAGCCTCAACATAAATAAACCATCCACCATGTTGGGAAGCGTCGTCACCTTGGAGAAGAGGTCAGCGCCCCATCTCTGGGCCACCTCGCTTGAACTCCGAGGCTCACGCCACTTGCCTCCCTTTGGCGAGGCTGAACGCCACTGGGAGAAGTCTCAACATGGATGAACCATCCACCATATTGGGAAGCGTCGTCACCTCGGAGGAGAGGTCAGCGACCCATCTCTAGGCCACCTCGTTTGAACTCCGAGGCGCATGCCACTTGTCTTCCTTTGACGAGGCTGAACGCCACTGGGAGAAGCCTCAATATGGATGAACCATCCACCATGTTGGGAAGCGTCATCACCTCGAAGGAGAGGTCAGTGACCCATCTCTGGGCCACCTCGCTTGAACTCCAAGGCGCACGCCACTTGCCTCCATTTGGCGAGGCTGAACGCCCATGGGAGAAGCCTCAACATTTATGAATCATCCACCATGTTGGGAAGCGTCGTCACCTCGAAGCAACGCCCTATTTCTGGGCCACCTCGCTTGAACTCCGAGGTGTATGCCACTTACTTCCCTTTGGCGAGGCTGAACGTCACTGGGAGAAGCCTCAACATGGATGAATCATCCACCATGTTGGAAAGTATCGTCACCTCGGAGGAGAGGTCAGGGACCCATCTCTGGGCCACCTCACTTGAACTCCAAGACGCATACCACTTGCCTCCCTTTGGCGAGGCTGAACGCCACTGGGAAAAGTCTCAACATGGATGAACCATCAACCTTGTTGGGAAGGTCGTCACCTCAGAGCAGCGCCCCATCTCTGGGCCACCTCGCTTGAACTTCGAGGCACACGTCATTTGCCCCCCTTTGGTGAGACTGAACGCCACGGAGAGAAGCCTCAATGAGGATCGAACTTCTTTTCCCAGGTTCACAAGGCCCAACCACTATGGGCTTCAAGCAACTCGATCAGACATAGCAATGTCCTCAGTTCAGCTAGAAGACGGTCCAGTATTAAGGTCTATTCAGGTTACGGTTATTAAGCTTAAGTATAATTTACTTGCTTAAATCCAATATCAGTCATGGTTTGTGTGGCTTTAGTACAATTTATTTAAGTGATTGGAGTTGGGATATCAAGTCAAGGTTATTAAAGTGTGATTACGTAACGAGGCCAATGCACTTGGAAGAACAACATTGAATGAAAAAGATTATATTAATTTTCAATGTTACAAAAGGAGGGTCTGAGGCCAGTACATCAAAATTAACTAAAAAGTAAACTATCCTAAGCCTCGGATGATGGCGGAGGTGCCTCGACAGCAGGAGCCTCCGCAGCTTGAGCATCAGAACTCTCTTCTGCCTCCACTGCCTCATCCCCAACCGCTTCATCAGCTAGGGTCTGAGGCACTTCATCCACAAACTCCGACCTCAGCTGTGACATGTCTTGATTTGGAAAGAGTTCCTCAGCCCTCTCCATCATTTCAGCATAGACATAATTCCTCCAGTAGACGCTGAAACTCTTGTACTCCTCAGTGTTGTGGAAGTTGACAATGTAATCTTTGACTGCCTCCTCCCTCGCCACATTGGCCTCCTCCCTTACCTTGGCCATTTTATCCACATACCATTTTATTTGGCCCTCCAAGAATTTGTATGCATCTTAGGCCCCGGCCAGCTGCAGATTGGCCTTCTCCAAGGCCTCAGCAATCACCTTTTGGTGGTCATTGGAGACCTCCACTTTCTTGGTAAGGGAAGTCACCTCGCACCGGGACTCATAAACCTCCTTCTTTAAAGCCTCAATTTGGGCCAAAGCAAACTCCAGCTTGGTCGCATCTTCTATTTTTTTGGCCCTCGCAACCTGTGCCTCGGCCCTGGCCTTTTTCAGCTCCTCTGTGAGAGAGGACATTTTCTTCTCCGAGGATTGGGTCCTCATCTGAAAATCAATAAGGGCCTCCTTGCACTCCAATGCGAAGCCAAATGTCCTCACACTTTGGCTCACAAGAGCCCTAGTCAAGTCCACCGCATCGTAGGAAGAGGCGTCGAACTGCCACCGGTCCTCCAGAATTTATAGAAGCTCTCCGTAGCACTTCAGATCTCGACTGGTAGAGCCTCCACCAATGTCGGGGCCAGGACCTCCTTCCTCTCAGCAAGGAAGTTCGGCGATTTCCCCTGGACTCTTGCGAGCCTCTGCTTAGCAGCTTCATCATCTGCCTTCTCAGCAGCCTTCTTAGCCTCGGCACGCCGCACCATTTCTACCTTCACAGCTTTGGAGGCGGTCTCCAGGAGCTTTGGCTGAGGGGTTTCTTTTCCTTCGTGGGACACAGAGGTCCCGAACTTCCCTGATGAGCTGGTGACGTGCACCAGCTTCCTCTTCTTCCGCTCCTCAAGCACCTTCTCCTTTCCCCAAGGCTCTTTGGCCTTCTTCGACCTCTGAGGGGCCCCCTCCTCAGCAGCCCTGGAACTATTTTCCTTGGAGAGTCGCTCAACCCTTTCCCGAACCTCCTTTGTACCACTTGACCCCGGCTTCAGGGGCCTCGTCGTCACGTTGGATATGGCCCTAAGGATAGAGGCCATGTCCGGGGCTGGATACTCCCTCCTCTTGAACTTATCTGCAAACCAAGTCAGTGCATCAGCATCGAAACAAAAGGCAAAAAATGCACAGGTATACAAGCCTCTTACCTTTAGAGGCCATCAATTCAAAATCAATGAAGTAGTGGCTTCGGGTTGATGAGGTGGTCGAAGTGCCGAAGTTTTAGAGGTCTCTTGTAAATGTCATCTATCACTTTAAACTCCTCCTTACTCAGCTCGAACCTTGTACTGCTATCTACACAGTAAGCCTCAACAGTTATAAAAATAAAATTTGGAATATAAAATGTAAACTACTTAGATTGGGAGACTCACGAGCTTCGTAATACTGGGTCGGTACTGTGCAAGCCAAGGTTGTGTCCCCCTCCACTGCCTGCTACCTACCCCTTACCCAGAACCACGATTCTTTCCACCCCTTGATGGAAGAAGGCAGCTCTACCACAAATGGTGCGTGAGCCCCCCCCCCAAGGAGTTAAGTAATACCACCCCCTCGACTCCTTACCTATCATCCTAGGCTGGAACAAGGTCATGAAGACATGGAGAGGCATGTCCTCCCCAAGTGACACTTCCTTCCACAGGAAGTACAAGACAACCAACTGATTCCACCCATTTGCAGAACTTAGGTTGGCGAAAACATAAAGTTCCTTAGCACCGCCCTAAAGAAAGGGTGCAGAGGAAGACGCATACCTGCCTTAAACAGATATTCACTCACCACCACGCACCCGAGCCTCGGATAGCAGGCGCGCTCATGAGCCTCGGGTACCAACATTTCCACATAATGAGGTACACAGTACCTCTCCCTGATTTTCCCCAGCCTCTTCAAAGTCATATTTGAAGGCACTCTGGACCTCCCACTCCTCACTGTAATCTACTGGCTCCTTGGTCATAGCATATTGCTCGACCTGGAAGTCCCCTCTGTGACTTACCTCCTCACCGAACGACGCGATAGTTACTAATTTCATACCCGATGTGGACTTCATATCAGAATGAACTCAATGTAAAGGATTTTTTGTGAAAATACCTATGGGAAATGACTACGCGAATGGAGTAACGCCGAAAAACAAGAAGATCCACTGTTTGGATGCCGAAAAATTGGAGTTTTTAGGAAACCAGATTGCACAAAATGAAAATCCAAAAAAATGGAGGTCTCTTGCCTTTTATAAAGGGCCAAAACGAACCCTAGTCATCTGATCAAAGCCCAGTGAATCTGAACCCTTCATTCTAAACCAAATCCGAAGCGTAGAATTCAAACGGTTTTTTAAACCTACGCTTCAGATTCAACCATATCCTCCACGCATCTCCCCAAACGTGTCTACTTCTAGAAGCTCCAGTTGTGCTCATAATTACGACTTTAATTCAACGGCAGTAGACGCCTTGTAAGTTGAACGGTCCAGCCACCTTTCCTCGAAAATATGTGTAAAACATCAAATCATTGGCACAACTACCGGGAAATAATCATTACTAATGAGCCTCAGATTTCATCCTTCACAAGCCTCGAAGGTTCGATTTCTAAACCAACTCGGCTTCATCACAATTCAGCCATCACAAACCTCGAAGGTTTGATTTCTCAACCACCTTGACTTCTTCATCACAATTCAGCCATAGCAAGCCTTGCAGGTTCGGTTTCTCAACCACCTCGACTTCATCACAATTCAGCCATAACAAGCCTCGCAGGTTCGATTTCTCACCCACCTCGACTTCCTAATCAGATTTCAGCCTCCACAAGCCTCGCAGGTGCAGTTCC